ATACCAACCAACCAACCCACTGCTGCTGAGCTGATTTCGACTCACAGCGACCCTATAGGACAGAGTAGAACTGCCCCATAGGGTTTCCAAGGCTATAAATCTTTACGGAAAGAGACTGCCACATACGTCTCCCATGGAGCAGACTGATGGGTTCAAACTGCTGACCCTTTCGGTTAGCAGGTGAGCGCTTTAACCACTGTACCACCAGGGCTCCTTTGTACAACATAGAAAACCCAAAAACCAAACCCATTGTAGTCAAGTCGATTATGACTCATAGCAACCTTATAGGACAGACTAGAACTGCCTCATAGGGTTTCCAAGGAGTGGCTGGTGGATTTGAACTGCTGATGTTTTGGTTCGCAGCCAAGCTCTTAACCACTGCGCCACCAGGGCTCCACAACATAGAAAGTGCTAAATAAATAGTTTAAAAATTTTTAATGAATTTTTTTTTTTAAAGAAGAGAATGGAAATTTTTTGGCATATATCAGTTAAAAACAAGCGATTGGCAGTGGGAAAAGCTGCTATGGTTTCCACTTGTTACAGAAGCCAACGTTAGATGTGCCAGCATATTAGTCATTTAAGAGTTCTCCACCATTCGAAGACTTACTCCCTCCCCAAGCCACCCACCTCCCTCCCCAAGTTACCTTCATACCACATGGTTTGATTCCCCCATTCGGAGTTAGCTCAGACAATCAAGGTACTTGAAGAATATAATATGACTCATCGCTGAACAAGAAATCTTTCCTTACTGATTGATCTTAGGCTCATGGCCAATCTGGACTTCCGTTTGGCACCATTCCCTCAGCATCACTTCTGAATTGTCCTTTCAGTACTCAGCTTAAAATTTGCTTTGTACAAGAAGCCATTTTTAATTTGACAGGAAGAGGTGAAGTCTGATACCTATGTTCCGCCACCGGTGTGGACATACCCACCATGAGCACACAATTACTGAATTTGTAGGTTTACGTTGGAATCTCATGTCTGTCATTCACTAAGTATGACCTTGGAGAAAATGGGGATAATAAAACCCACCTTGCGGGGCCATGCAGATTAAGTCAAATAGCAATTTGAAAATGCCGAGTATGGCTCAACAAATGGCAGATTTCTTGTCAGCTCTGACTATGCTTTCTGAGTTATTTAGTCTATACCGTAAGTTTCTTAAAAGTAAAAGCACTTTTTCTTGTGCTCCGTACTCCCTCCCTAACTAATACAATGCCATCCATCCTTGGGAGACACTGTGAAATGATGTGCAGGAAGCTGGCAGGTCACGGACAAATTTGAGAAAGATTTATGTAACAAATACACAGATGAGAAAAGAGCATTCTGGGGAAATGGAAAAGAAGGGGTGATGGTAAAGGCCTGTCTTTACATTTACTCTTTCCACTCATTTAAAAATTTATCTTGTCAAAAACAGGGGTCAGATGGTCTCATACTGAGAGCGTGGTGCTGAAGACGATGTGCCAGTACACCTGGTATTGATTCACGCCAGCTGGGAGAGGAGCTTGGCTTCTCAGTGTTTTACTACTGTGGTTTCCTGGGCTGGGCAGCTGGGTGCCTAATAATGATAAAAACCATAATAATACTTCATAATTACATACTGTGCTTTGCCAGAACTTGGATTTAATTACAATGACTATGACAGGACTGGCAACATCCTCCTCCCTGTTGGGGTGCCATACCCAAGGGCCTGGAAATACAAAGTGAAGTGGCAACTGCAACCTTCTGCTATAGGGCCCGTGCTGGCAACATACCAGAGTTCTCTGCGTTTGAAGCTCATCTTCAGAAACAAAGTGTACTTCTACATTGCCCACATGTACCTGGCACTGTCAAGTAAAGTAGTATTTATGAAGCAACTACAGCCACACGTGGGTCATAGGAGCACGATGTCCCAGGCCTACAAGGAACCAAAATGGGTGATCTTGGTCATAACTCTGACTCCTGGCTCCAGGCATCGCTGCCACTACACTCAAACGGGGGAGTTCACTCATCTTCCCATTCTGATTTGGGCTGGAGATGCTTTTCTGTGAGTCTCTTTCAGGTGTCAGAGGAGTCACCAATTCATTAAGAACAATTTTCTGAGCACTTACTCTGAGCCAAGGCACTGTGGGCACACAAAGATGTATAAGATATGACTCCTACCCTAAAAGTAGCTTACAGTCTAGTTGGGGTGTTTGTATTCAGGCAGCTGTTATATGCAGATAAGGTTTCCAAGGCTGTAAATCTTTATGGAAGCAGACTGCCATATCTTTCTTCCATGGAGCGGCTGGTGGGTTCAAACCTCCAAACTTTTGATTAGCAGCTGAGTGCTGTAATCACTGTACCACCAGGGCTCCATTATATGAAGACAGAGGAAGTTCCTGGAAGATGAAAGGGAATGAAATCAAGACTCCAGGTGAAAGGGTCAGGACCATCTGCTCTTTGAGAACAAGAAGAAAGGATGAGAAGGAAGAGAAAGAGAATGATGTGCAGAGCTGGGCAATTTTGAGAGGTTCTTAGTTTCCCCATTTTATTGTGTTCATAGCACCCCCTGAATTATCTTGTTTTTTTACTTATTTACTGTTTGTTTCACTCCATTCAGTAAACTTGCCTGTTTTGTTTACCCCTATATCCTGAGCATCTCAAACAATGCCTGGCACATATAAGTGTTCAGCAAACACTAACCTAATGAATAAATGACCCGGGTGAGGTGGTGGCAGCGGAGATGGAGAGGAAAGGGTATTTAGTAAGTATAATTTAAATATAATTAATATGCAAGATTAAGTTAGAAGGGGTAGAGGTATGTTACAGCAGTGAGGAAGGGGCATGGATGATTAGTCCTAAGTTCCAGGTTTCTGGCTTGGGTATGTGAGTGGACAGTTGTGTTACCAAAGAAGATAAAGAACAGAGGAGAAGGAGTAGGTTTTGTGGACTTCTGAGAGCGTACAGAATGAGCACTGGTGGCGCAGTGGTTAAGCACTTGGCTGCTAACAGAAAGGTCGGCTGTTTGAACCCACCAGCAGCTCCTTGGGAGAAAGATGTGGCAGTGTGCTTCCATAAAGATTTACAGCCTTGGAAATCCTATGGGGCAGTTCTACTCTGTCCTATAGGGTCACTATGAGTTGAAATCGATATGACGCAGCAATGGGTTTTTTGGTTTTGAGGGTATATGAGTTCTGATTTGGATCCGTCACATTGAGGTTCAGGAGAGATGTCCAACACAGTGGCGTCACCAGGGTTGGTGTCATCCAGTGCGGTAACTCCTGGTGTCACTCCCCCCATAATAGTTATCACAGTATTGTAGCTAAAACACCAGAAAATTTGACAAGTCATCTACTATCAGAACACCAGCAGCAACTAAAACAACAGTGCGTGCTTGTAGGTGTGCAGATGAAGCCACGTGATTGGAAACACTGTTGTAATTGAGTAATAATGACAGCTCTGATTAGAGTGCATTAGAAGTTTCAAAAAGTCAATTAGCATAGAGTTTTAGCCTTGTTGGTATATTGATACATGTAAGCTGGGCTTATGAAAATTTTTTTTGGTGTTATTACAGGGATATTTTCATAAAAATAATTTCTGCTGAAACACTGCACAAAAATTTCACCGTCATTTTGGTGTCACCTCCTCTGACAGTGTCACCTCCTCTGACAGTGTCACCTCCTCTGACAGTGTCACCTCCTCTGACAGTGTCACCCAGTGCGGTCCACACCCCTCCCTCACACCCCCTTAGTGATGCCACTGGTCCAACAGGTAATTACATATGCAGGTATGGACCTCATTAAATGTACACACGGCAGTTAAAGCTATCAAAATGGGGTACATCCTCTAGCGTGAAGATGGCTATGTGCTTACTGAGAAGACGACTGAGGATCGGACCCTCAGAAACCTCAACACGTAAGGGTCAACAGAGAGAAGATACAGAAGTTAACTGAAGAGAAACGATCGGAGAGTTTATGGTGTCACGGAAATCAGGATGGTGGATGGCTGAGGAGGAGGAAATGCTTCAAGAAGGCCATCGTGCGCAGAATCAACTGCAGTAGGAGGATCAAGTAAGAGGACTAAAACATGACCCATGAACTTGGCCGTATGAAAAGTCACTGGTAGCCTTAAGGAGCGCACTTTCAGTGGACTATGGGGAGAATAATTTAGCCTGTGGCCGGTAAGTTTGTGAATGACAACAATCTTTCTCAGAGGCCTGATGGGAAGAGTCCCGCAAGCGTCACAATTCTTCCACTAAGCTTCTCTTTTCCACCTTTTCAGCCATTTCTAGGACAAGGGCCCTTCCATATAAAGCGCTGGCAAAGAGACGGATACAGAACACCCCTCCGTCCGATTTGTTAGTTATTTTTGTGACAGCTGTGAGTAGGGATGGGAATACTTGATTTAAATGAGGTGCTGGGCTCTCCGCGGATCTTGGAATTTGCTAACTAGGCGGCTCCCTGCTAGGTGAGCTGGGGAGACTCATTCACATTTTCCTACCCTGCACTCCCGCCCTCTATTCAGCATTTCCCCCTCCTTTTCCACGACAGGGTTTAAAACAAGGACAAAGCTTTTCCTCTTCTCGCACCGCACGTTGACCTCCCACCCGCAAACCCACCGATGGCCCTTCCCCTACCACGTGACTCTCCCCAGCACACGTCACTCGCCGCCGTTGACCCCTCCCCTCGGCTCCGAAGCCCGCTTTCCCCTCCGCCTCCCAAACCCACGTGACCGCCTGTCTCCCACCTGACTGGCTCCTCCCTTTCCCCCCCGGGCCGGACCCGGCCGCCGTCGCAGCTGCCGGACTCCAAAATGGCAGCCGCGTACGGAGCGCACCCGAGCCGCTGGACCTCCCTGACTCCCAGGCCGCCCCCCTCTCGCTCCCTGCCCCTCTCCTTCGGCCTTCACCTACACGCCTCCGGATTGGCCGCTAGGAATCCCGCCCCTCCAATACCCCTCCTGCTATTGGTCACGGTAGGCTGCCCTTCAGAGAGGCGTGCCCCCGCCCGCCCCCCGCCCCGGGAGGTATTTTCCATTCCAGTGGGGGTTGGGGGGAGGGGGGAGGGGAAAAGGGTGAAGAGGGGGAGGCGGCCGAGGGAGGGGGTGGGGGCCTGGCGGGGGCATCCGGCGGAGCTGGGGTCCCCGGGCGCCGTCCGGAGGAAGCGAGACTGCGCTCCCTCCGGCAGTTGGAGGGGACCGGACGGGGTCGGCGGGCGGGCGGGCGGACTCGCCTTCTTGGTGACTGCGCCGTCCGGGTCCATCCTGCCTGGCCGCAGGTGCCCCTGGATGTGGCCGCCCCGCGCGCCCCGACCGGTGAGTGTCCCTGCGGCTTGCGCCCGCTCCGGCGCCCCCTTCGCGGCCCCCACCCCGCCGTTAGCGGCCGACTTTCTGTCCCTCGGGTGCCCACGCCCGGTGCAGTCCGCCTCCAGCCGGCGCCTCCACACCCCAGGCAGAGGCAGCGCCGGTCCTCGGGCCGGGATGGGCTGGCTGGGAAGAGGACGGCGGGCCGGGGACGTCGAGCCCGGGCCGCGAGCCCCATGCCCACCGCGCCGCGCGTAGTGGGACCTTGCGCTTAGTAGGCTCTCGATGTATTTTGATGGAATTGTATTTCTGGCTGGAGGGACGTAGGGCACCTAAGGGGAAAGGGGTCGTCCCAGGGTTGTAGGAGAGCGCTTGTGATCGGGGTCGTGGTGGGTCGGGGGGAAGCCACCGGAGTCCTCGTGGGGCCGTTACGGGAGCTGCAGGGAAGGGGACATCGGGCAAGTTACTTGGGGCTCCATCTGGGGGTCCTCAAGGTCGAGGAGATCTGGGGAATGAGGGAGAGAACGGGGGAGCATGAATGGGGGAGGCGATTGGAGCACCTACAAGGGTTTAATCTGAAGTAAAAAAGAATGTGGAGGCGGGCGCAGGAAATGGGCTCCTAAGATTCTTTGATACTCTGGTTTGGGCATTCAAGTAGCTGAAGCGAAGTGACTTTCTGGAGAGGGAGTTGCATTTAAAAGAAGGATGCTAAGAAACGGTTTAAGTACACGTCTTGTACTGAACTTTTAAAGACTGGGGAATCGGAAGTTTTTGACATTTTCTTTTGGCTTTGCAACAGAGAGGAGGCTCGCTACTGGACCCTTTCAGTTATCCTGTATAAATGTATGTATGTGTTTGATGGTATTCTATCAGTTATCAGTTTTGCTGGAAATGCTCCTAACTATACCTTGAAATTTTTGTAGCAGCCTCTCCATCTGTAGCATTTAGACTGGACTGTTCAGTTTTCATTCTGGAAGATTAGTAATTCGCATGCTTTCTTTCCCTTGCTTTTAACTGTGTCTTTTACAAGGTCATGCAGAATTGAACTACAAATTCTATGGAAATTTTAAAATATTTTTTAACTTCAAGTTTTGAACTGGGAAGGAGATGTTAGTAAGCTAGCAGCTCTTGAAAGCAATACTAAAATCAGGTTGAATTATCTAACATTCGGGAATCTTAATGTCAGATGCTTAATTTTAATAATCTTGCATTTACATAATACTCTTTTTGAGAATGGATTGGGAACCTACAAAATACACACCAGGATTACTGGCAGTCCACAGAGGTTCTTCATTTCACTCAGAAGAGTAAGCTAAGAATTGCCCAGCTAGATCTTTAGTCCTTCTAATATTTTTTCATCACATATATGGTATCTTACTAATTCCTCATAAGTCTTCACAGTTCAAAAAATGAAAGCTTATTTTGTTAGGGAACATGTCTTAGAAAAATTTGTTATTTTTCCCTTTAATTCAGCAATCAGAAAACATTTCTGCAAAAAGGAGCTAATATTTTCAGTTGGCACCTTCTTAGTTCTTGAATAACTAATGGTTAATTATATTTTTCTCCCTATTGTCCTTGAATTTTACTATTCGTCCTTAGGAAGAATGTACTGGCACACAAAACAGCAGTCTAAAATATTGAAACCTAACACCTTTTACCATTATAATAGCTTCTGCATTATTCACCTTGAGAACCATCTATAGCAAACCAGTGGTCAGGAGGTCTTCCCCCATCACCTTTGTTTAGCTTTGGGCTGTTTTCTCCGTTTGCAGAACTAAGGAAATATACACTTAATGGCTGCAGAATAATGGTAAGAACCAGGGCTTCCATCCGGTTCTTCCTGGTTCAGTCATGGCCGAGGAAGCAAAACTGGAACGGACCCAAATTTTTAGAATTTGGGTGAACCAGAACAATAACCAGAACAGGAAAAATTACGACTCAGAGCCCTGCTAGAAACCTAATCTTCTTAGAAAACAAGGGCATTGTAGCCAAATCTCTTGCCCATCTGATTGAATTTTGAGCAGAGTTGGAAACAGCGGTGCCCCTCTCAAAGATGGCGACCAGCTGTGCTGCTTTGAACATGTGTCGCTCTCCACAGTGCTGTCGGTAATCCAGTCTCACGCATCAGGCTCCAGAAGGGGCTCATTACACCTCTTCTGAGTCTCCCATTCCAGAGCTTTGACCCATAATTTTTCCCGTTCCAGATTACCCAAATTGTAAAAATTTGGGTCTGTTTCGGTTTTGCTTCGTCAGCCATGACTGAGCCAGTTCAAAGCCCTGGTAATAACAGAATTAGAATGGGAAGCTAGGAAAAAAGATTTTTGTGTATGAGTCCCATTTGTTTTACAGCTGAAAGAGCAGAGCATGAGATGATTCTTTTTAAGATCAGGAACCAAAGCCCAGAACAGTTGAAGGGACTAAATTGCTAGTTAGTGGCAGAGCGAGGATTGATGTGCAGGTCTCTCTGGACTCTGGTCCAGAGTTTTTTGCACTTTATCACGTTGTTTATTTCTAATACATTCTGGTGCCAACTATAAATGGGTTTTGGATTACTAGTGATATTGTTCCCCTCTAAGGATGGGAAGTTTGAGTTGAGTTACTATTTTACATGAAATGATGCAAAGCTGGATGAGTTTTTATTGAAAGGTTTAAAACAATCTGCAGCATTGTTAGTGGAAGTGCTGATATTTCCTTCTCATTGGAATAAAGTGACAAACTGTCATCTAGATTAAAATATGATATGAACTCTGTTTTATACTTTTTAGTGCAAAAAGCTAATTGCTTAAAAGGTTCAGGATTAAAAAGGCTCATTTTTGAAGTAAATTTTATGAAAATTATTATTTTCAATAAAATTTGAGGTTTTTGTTATATTGATAAAATGGATTTTAGTACCTTTTAAAAAGCAGTAATAGAATTATATGATCATTATGAGAAGAATTTCTGTCATAATTGTAATAAAAAAAGACTGGATTTGTATCTCAGCCACTTAATAACATTATGATTTAACCACCATGTACCTAGGTTTCCTCATCTGTAAAGTGAAGATAATAAAAGTACCTACATTATAGGGTGGTTGTTAGTTGCAGTTGAGTTGATTCTGACTCATGGCGACTCCATGTGTCCAGAGTAGCACTGCTCCGAAGGGTTTTCAAGACTGTGACCTTTTGGAAGCAGATTGCCAGGCCTGTCTTCCAAGGTGCCTCTGAGTGGGTTCAAACTGCCAGCCTTTCAGCTGGTAGTCGAGCACTTAACCATCTGCACCACCCAGGGCTTCCCCTTATAAGGTAGTGGTGAGGATTAAACACTCCTAGCACGTAGTAAGGGTGTAAGAAATATTTGACATTATTCTCTATGGTCCATTAAGTGTACATAGGCACTTGGATGCCCATTCATTTCCTTACTGTTGACTCAAAGCAGTCACTTTTAGGCTACAAAAAATTCCTAGATAATGATAATCAAATAATATTCTGCATAAGGGACACAATACAAATGATGCCCTTTGATTTTTTTCTCTCCTTTCTGTGCTTACCTTGGGCCTTAAATTAGGTCTGCATGTCCGGTTAGAGTGATTGTGTCAGTTTTTCTGGATGTCATTGGGAGACCCTCGTTGCAGCTTCACTGTCCTAGAGTCAAATGGCTGTTGATTGTGTGGGTATTCTAGTGAAATGCATTAAGTTCTAGAGGCCTACTGGACTAAGCTTAGGTGAGGAAATCGGGAATTCATAAAGGTCTAAGAGCACAGCTGCTAAACAAAAAAAGATTGGCAGTTCAAATCCACCAGCCGCTCTTTGGAAACTATAGGGCAGTTTAACTCTGTTCTGTAGGGTCACTGTGAGTCGAAATTGACTCATTGGCAATAGTGTTTTTTTTTTTTTTTT